TAAGCAGATACATTTTTGTTTTGTTTTGTTTTGTATATTTATGTGGAGTTTGTGTTGGAGTGTGTGTTGTGCTGGAGGCAGGTCGTTTTTGGGTGTTATCAGACTCCATGTCGTCAGCTGCAGTGCCGTCGCATAGACTGTATATAAAAGGAGAGCGGCTCGGGTGCGCGCATACACGTCGCATCCTGTGGATTTCGCAGAAAATCCGACCCGGAGACTTCACATAGAAATAGGAATACTGGCCTTCAGAGGTAATAGCAGAACCCGACAAGTGGATCATTGTAATGTGTGATTACAACCCCTTCACACACAGGCAATAAAAAAAGGATTCATTTTAGAAGAAAAGTTACATTTAGCACCTTTAACAGACACTTTTATCCAAAGGGGCAACATATATATATATATATATATATATAATATATATATACAAAGGGGCTACATATGTATATTTTAGTATTTTAATTAAGTTAGATTTATTTTAATAAAATAACAATAATAATAGTAATGTTCGAATTTAGGGAAAAAAAGTATAGCAGTGTTTCCATCCCATTTTTTTCACTAGAACAAAATCGACACTGTTGAGCAAGTTTGTTTGACCAAAAGACATTACTGTGACATGACATGAAAAACATGACTATTTTGATGCACATGAATTTATTCAAGAAATGTTTCCATCATAGTTTTAATATGCTCATGTCTTCTTACCGTATTACAAGACATATTACACTTTATCTACTTGTCCACCTACTAATTTGGTGTCCATACAGCATTTTTATGTGGTGTTACAAAATAATCATAAAAATATGTAGATAGAAACCCAGTTTCAAAGGGTGATTTTTTTTTTTCTGTCATTGACAGATTTTTTTTTAGCAACGTCAGGAAAATCTGAAGGCCATCTGTCATTTTGACAGATTACACTGAGGGTGATCAATTGTAACTTCAACTTGTAACTGTAATTCCCACCACTGACCAGTTTAGCCTCTAGAACAAAATTAAAACTGCCACAAGAAGTCTGAAAGAAGTCATTATTCAATGAACATAAAAAAAATAATAATAAATCAAGATAAAACACACATCGTGCAGCTCTTCTACCAGGAGTTGATTCAAAATTGTGCTCGCGCGATTAGAATGTGCGCGTCCGGTGTGCGATACCTGGAGTTGTCCTAGACGTGGCGCGACGCGGCGCTGCGCTTCTCGTCCGGTGTGCGACCCACTTGAGGCCGTTGATGCGTTTGATTACACACAGGCGAGCATCCAGTTTAAAGAGCATATTGCAGGTAAAAAAATAATCTAAATTAATATATAACCTTGTATGAAAATACCATATGAAAAGTTAATGCAGGATTTAAAATGTTTTAAAATGACATAAGGGCACTAATTTAGTAGATATAGTGAGCGTTTCTTGGACTGCTCGTAAAGGTAAAAACGGCTTTTTTTTTTTTTTAAATCGCGTCATTTTACGTCAGGCCAGGAAGCTTCAGCCTCGGCTCAGTGCAGAGTAGGCTGGCATTCAGTGAGAGCGGTCGTGAGTCAGTGTGTTTTCGGTAGTTTTTGTATTTTAATTTATCATCGTAAATTATTGTTTGTGGAGGTTGCAAAAACTCGGGCCTGTCAGGACATCGAGTCCACAGGTTTCCATAACAAGAAAAGGGACGGTGCTGTATATCTGTCGTGCCTGGTGCGGTTTGTGCAGGTGAAGAGAAGGGATTTCTCTTCCGCATCGCCTTCGAGAAACGCGGTCGTGTGTGGCGTTCACTTCAGATCGGAGGATTATCATCCCGGCGATATGACGGAGTTCAACATGGGATGCCGTGCCGAAGCAAAAATATTGATCGTCTAATACTGTACCAATGGCATGAAATAGTGTGATATAGGTAGTCTTGCCCTAAATAGAGGCAACTTGTAATTGAAAAACAAAATTACTCAGGTTGTTTAAATATTCAAATCTTTAATTTTCTGTTTATGTTATAACCCAGGTGAAAAATATGTATTAAAAATGTACTTGGGTATGTTTTTAGTACAATAGAAATATACTCAAGTATAGTTTTTATACATTTAATAGTAAACATATAATGTCTGCTGGCCTGAAATACGATGGTAATAATCTGTACAATATTGTGAGCACTGTGTATATCGTTAGCGAACATGTATCTATAAGCACGTCTCTCACCAAGACACTAGTATGGCAAGCCGTTTTAACTTTTATTCATTTCCAGGATATGAATACTTGATATCAACAATTCAATTTTCACTAGTTAAAATTATAATTATTGATATCAGGAATAATATTTCTACTAGTAACAATGGCAATTTTTGATATCAGGAATTACATTTTCACTAGTAACAATGCTAATTCTTGACATCAACATTTACACTGGTTCTCCTCACACCACAACTCATGGTGTCTCTGACCGTTCTGTCTGACATTAGTCCTGGCCTGTCACTGCTCTCTTGGCAGCATAGCAGGCTCATAATTGTATGGCTGTGGTCCGTCATACGAGTAAGTATTTCCTCAGCGTCTGAAATGTCATTGCGATCCATCGTTTTCCTGTTGTTTGAATCGACCGCTCTCCCGCCACGCCCATTTTCAGACGCGGAAGTAAAATTTTCTCACAAAAACGACTCCAGAAGCTCCTGTAGCGTATTTATAAGTATATTTGAAAGAAAATCTAGTTCCTACATTATTTTTCTATACATTGACTCCTCTAACCTGCAATATGCCCTTTAAGTCTGTGCGGACCAGGAGAAAGGTTTGAGTTCAGGTAGATACGGAAAGTTGATTGAGTACTTTATTCAGTATTTTTCTTTTTTACTTTTTTCGTTCATATTTTAATGGTAATTGTATTTTGTAATATTGCGTTGTTCATATTTGCCTGTTCAGGCACAAAGGTCTTGTTTTAGTGGCCTCAGCTGTCACTACAGGGAAAAAAAACAGACAAACATTGTGGTGTTGAACATAAGTGACGCATAGTCTCTGACTGTTAATCTGTTCTCTTCATAAATAAATAAATGCATAAGCCTATATGCTCATGCTGTAAGTTCATGATTAAAAATTAAAAAAATAGTGAACAAAAACAAAAGCTATAAAACGTTTTATTATCATTAAAATATTAACATCTAAATGACGGGTAATCTAGATTATGACAGAATTTTTACGACCCTGCCTGTCAAAATAACGGACAATGAGAAAGTCTAATGCAGCCACTGCCCAGGTAATGACCTGTTCGGGAGAATTATTGCACAAAAGAAGCCCATTAAGACCCATGCTAAAGCACAACCTGAAGCCAAAAAACATAATAGTAGTAGTGACCCAGTAAAATATTGCTGAGATGAGCCCAAAATATAGCTTTTTATCCACATTTCAAAGAATTATGTGCTGCAAATCTGACACTGCCCACACTTCAAACAGCAGCGTACCTGCAGCGAAGCAGCATCATGCTGTGAGGCCGCTTTTGTATCAGCAGAGGTTGAGCATCTTGTTCAAATGAAGGAAGACAGGATGCTGCAAATACTGAATTCATGATCCCAAACACAAAAAAACACGGCAGTGGCACAAATAGGTGAATGTCCTACAATGGTCTTGTAAAATTGTGCTGCACTACCATCATGTGACTAACCTAAATGCATGGCCTGGAGAAAATCTGAATTGGTACATACTTTACCCATGACTTAATCGCTGCGTTACATGTGCAATGCGTTACATCGCTGCGTTACATGTGCAATGTTTTGGATAGGTAATGCAATTACTAATATAAATTATGCTGTATTTTAGTAATTCAAAAATATGAATGCACATGACATGAATGAATGCACTATATATTTTCTCTTCTTGTTTATCCCTTTGTGTTAGCTACCCCCCTCCCCCCACATTCCCTGAGCTTTGACAATGGTCTTGAGTGGCATGTAACAGGCTAGAAATAATGCAATTGTGAGGATACTGGGGGTTATTGAAACTCTCTTAATCCTCTGTACAGCATCAGCTTGGTTGCTGACAGAACCAGCCGGTCTCTAAAACAATTCCAGTCCGTGTGGGCAGGTTGCTAAACGACTCACTTTATATTTTATTTATCATCATGTGAAAATGTGATTCCTGGAAACAGATAAGATTTTCATCACACTATTTCCTCCATGTAAATGCAGGGCAATGGGTTGAGACATGCTTTTCTGTTTTATTACATGCTGGGACTTCACAGAGATGTGTTATGCTCCTCACTCAGTTTACATTTCTCTTCTTTTGACATGCCTGGGTTGGAGATGGAGGAGGGTTACTGCAAGTAGCCTGTGGTGTTTTTTTGATCCCATTTCCCTGACATTTCTTTTTTATATATAAACAGTGGATTTAAAGTCTACACACCCCAGGTGAATCAGATCTTTTGTACCTTTAATGTAAAAATTACAACCTATGCAATGCCACTAAAAACTAGTGAAATAAGTGACACATTTAAAAAGATCTTAAACTTAAAATAACCTAACTGCATAAGTGTGCACACCCCTAAACTAATACCTTGTTGAATCACTTCAACTAATGAATCTTTGATTTTATTACAGCACTCTGTCTGTTTGGATAGGAGTCTATCATCTTGGCACATCTTGACTTGGGAATAATTTCCCACACTTCTTTGCAAACATGTTTCAGATCTGTTAAATTGTGAGGATCTCTCAAATATGTATCTTTTTACATTGAATTTTTAGCAGTTAATTTAATTATTAAATGATTAAAATGTATTTATTTTTGTGTAGATACTTAAGAAGCCTGGTAGAGACCAGCATCCACATGCATCCAAACATATGCTGTTGTCAAGCTATGTTGGCCTGTTCACCAGGGCATAACATTGCAAAACCCTCAAAAATAATAAAACAGAAATGGTGACAAGGTGCCGTATGAATATGTCCTGAGATTCCATATATGGACAGTTTTTCAGTGCTGTGATCTCAGTGCTGTCTAAGATTTGACCGTAGGTCCGTGCCCTGTGGCGGGTTGTCGTTTGCTGTGTTGGCAGGGTACGGCTGGAGGCCTTTTCGGACAACAGCGGGAAGCTCCAGCTGTCCCTGCAGGAGATCATCGAATGGCTGACAGCTAAAGACGAGGAGATGTCCGAGCAGCTGCCCATAGGTGGTGACGTCGGAGCGGTGCAGCACCAGCGGGAGTTCCACCAGGTTGGCTTAACACACACGTACACTTATTCATGCTGTCATTCCCCACATTAGCATATCTTTTTCTCTTGCTGACTTTGCTCTTGAACACGGTTAATCTTGTCATCTATCAACATAACAGAATCAATTCAATATTTAAGATTGCAATATGGCAGCAGGAGTTCAGGCAGAATGATATTAAAGATTCAAGCCCACCTACCTGTAAGCTAATAAAAAGCCGCTAAATCCATTATCAAGATGCAAAAATAGACCTGAAGGAAACGTGTTAATTAGAAATCTGAACCCCCCTCTGTTTCATAAGCCACAAAGAAGTTCCAAAGATCACTAAAAATAGAACAAAGAGAATAGTGACACCAATAGATGCAGGAACAATAAATACATGTTTGTTCTCACATTTAGTAAGGAGTAGTTCACCAAAAAAAACTTGTGTCATAAAATTCTTTCTAATTTTGGAAGACAAAAGGAGAAATTTTTGAAGACCGCAATGTACATTGAATGGGAACGGAAGCTTTCAAGCTTCAAAAATGGACACAAAAGCACTAGAAAAGAATCAAAGAACTGGTTAATATGACCTTTTGTGTGTGAGAAACAGACCAAAAATTACATTATTTGCTGACAATCTTCCCCTCCAGTGAGCTGCTAACCATTGTTACCAGATCATTGAGTCAGTAAGTCACTCGAGAATCAATCAGATTTGTGAATGAATCATTCAGAATTGGATTACCTGATTCATTAAGGCGATCTGACTCAAAAGAGCGATTCATTCACAGATTACACGTCATGTTTCTCTGATGAACACATGTGAACCAAGGAAAGATGGGGTTGGATGTGAGGATTTTGTGTCATAAGGGTTGGAAACGATGATAGATTTTTTTCATTTTTCGGTGAACTATCCCTTTAAATACTTACCACTCTCCTGTGCATACACATTATGTTCTGCACTCAAACATGTTCTTTTTCCCAATACACAAACTCACACTGCCAAATAAATACACACCTTGTAATTGGTCCTGTACTACTGCAGGATACTGCTTCCATCTTAGCACCAATTTCCAGTGCTGTCAGCTGAATAAAGCAGGAAAAAATAGGGGATCGAGAGGAAAGATAGAGCAAGAGAGTGAGAAAGAGAGAGAGAGAGATAGCGAGCTCTTTCTTCCTGTGACTGACACACTGTGAAATCAGCCTCCAAATTAACAGGCCTGTATCTTACTGTCCCTTTCTCGGCTCTCACTTATTTCTCCCTTACTGCTCCCTTTTGGCTCTTAATGAAATATGTACACGCACATATGCACATGCATGCACTCCTGTCCTGCTCTATCATTCCACCGCCACACACTGTTCTCTTTTCCTCCAATTCACGCCTGCAATGTATGATGTTCGTGTTCCCAATATGCCACATTGCCCTAAAACTTTTCTGACGGAATAGATAGCAAAATCACATATGCTGCTCTGCAGAGAATTACAGCATTTTAAGAAATTTGAATTATTGATCATTAGTGAAGTTCTTCCTCTGAGTTTTAATGCAGTACTCTTTTTGTCTTCCCCTGTGCTAATTCTTCTGCGTTTGTTGACAGATTTGAATAATTTGGATTGGTTTAAAAACTATATATATTGAAGCTTGTCCAAACACTCTAGACTGAAAATATAAGGGTTTCCCATGAGTCTTTCAAGACTAAGTACATATTATCATTCGTTTTTAGTGACTACTTAGTTGAGGAAATAACAGAGACATCACCAGACAGAAATAACCCTCAAGTCTTTATTTTTAGCTACTATTAAATTTTCACTTTAAGTGGAATAAAAACATGTTCAGGCCTCAGTTATTACAGGAAATAGCAAGACTTGGGCAAGAGGGCATGCTTTCCACGAAGACCCCTCATGAGATTTCTTGATTCCAGCAGCACGGCAATATATTTTTACTTTTAGCTGTTTGATTTCAGATTACTGTTTCTTGGTAGCTTATTCAATTCGCGAAAAGGTGGGTGGAGCTTTTAAGGACATGATACGCGTTAATGGGAGTGACTCCAAATATGGTTGCACAGCTATTTTTGGGAATATCCATAACCAGCATGCAGTGTAACATTGGGTTATTCCTGTTAGTTATATAGAATATTAAATTAATAGTAATCTCTACTTGCTATAAGAAGATTGAACTGTTGGATCGTCCAAATAAATGATTTTAAGAAGAGGTGGTAACATTCCACTGAGAAATTAAAAATGGCATGATAAATGAATGTTGTCGCCTCTTGTATAGGGAAAAGGGAATACTAGAAAAACTGGAGGTGGTGCTTAGGAGTTAGGAATTTTCACCATTATGGATAGATGCATAGTTCATGTCTGGTTTGAGCTGCACATCATTGCATTACATCATCATTGAATCCAAAGTGCCTTCTATTGGACCCAAGAAAGTTACAGGCACATGAGTTTGATCAAGGTTAGAGAAAACTGCAGGAAAGTGGTCTAAAGGTATTTAGAAGAGCCTTTAGTTCACCAAAAAAAATGGAAATTCTGTTTTAAACCTGTATAACTTTGTCTTCTGTGGAACAAAAAATATGTCTCAATTGGTTCCAATATTTTTTTGGATCTCATTGACTTTCATTATATGGACGAAAACAGTTCCTAGAAATATCTTCTTTATTGACAGAAGAAAGAATGTCGTACAGATTTGGATCAACATGAGGTTGAGTAGACAATGTCAGAATTTCCGTTTTTGGGTGAACTATTTCATTAATAATAATCTGACAATATTTACCTAAGTAAAACTGAAGCTTTATTCAGGTTCTGTTCGGTAGATTGACACCCCTGTAAGTAAGTAAAGCTTTATTTATATAGCACTTTTTAAAAACAGTGTTACTAAGTGCTTTACAGAAGAGAAATACATATGTGCATTCACAGAGATGCAAACAAAAAAAAACATACATACACAAACAATAGGAATAAAATAAAGAACAAAATACAATAATAAAATAAATCAATGAAAGGCCCTAGTGAACAAATGTTTTGAGATACTTTTTAAAAGTGCATAGTGAGTCGGTTGCTCGTAGGTTGTCAAGAAGAGTTCTTTAACTTGGGACCGAAATAACCAAAGGCTGACTTGCCCATTTTTAGCCGTTTTAACAAGTTACAAGTTACCATTGAATGTTCGGATCGATCTTGCTGGAGTATATTTATTCAACAAATTAGAAAGATATATTAGGGCAGAACCATGAAGACATTTAAAATCTAATAAGAGGATCGTAGGGGTTGATGGATTTTGTAGGGCTCCCATTCACTGTCTGTGAGCTACAGTAGTTTATGTGTGTCAGTGATAGAGGTCTGCTACCCAGCGTAGCAGAAGAACTCGCGGGTTTCGGGTTGTTTCATGAATATCTTCGGGTGCTGGTTTGTAACTAAGAAAAACTATATATTCCTCTGTGTCAGTCTCTAATGCTGTTCACAGGAACACCACGACACATGGGTGTGGTGCTGACGCAGGAGCCGGCCAATATGGAGCCGGCGTTCTGACGTAGAACCCGCGCGCTGCACTGTGTTTACTACGTGATCAGCGTCAAGACAGAGACTGACACTGAAGAGAACAAATTGTTGAATAAAGTCAATTTATATGTAAAAAAACTTCATAACATTAAGATTGAACGACTGTAGTCACATGGACTATTTTAACAATGTCTTTTACTACCTTTCTGGGCCTTGAAAGTGGTAATAAAGTTGCAGTCTATTGGGGGGGGTCAGAAAGCTCTCCGATTTCTTCAAAAATATCTTAATTCGAGGTCTTGCGGGTTTGGAACGACACGAGGGTGAGTAATTAATGACAGAATTTTCATCTTTGGGCGAGCTAACCCTTTAACTATGAGTGCGATAAGGCAAACAATTACTGAGGGGAAACGTATTACAGTGCCAAATGATGCAGGGAAAGCTGCACTGCAAAGTGTTCTACATAATAATTACAAAAATATTCATCAGTCACAGTCACTCCTCGAGCTTGCTGGATAACAGCTCAGCCAGGGGATAGCACAAAATTATACATAAACCTCTAAAATTACTACGCAGTAATGTGTTAAGTGAATGAGTGTAAACTGAGCACAAATCAAATAGCCGTGCTGCTGTGTCTGTGTCTCTCAGAAATCAGAGCTTTAGAGCTCAATAAAATAGACTACTGCACTATTTGACATGTATATTTGAATGTTTTAAACCTTGAGTGACGATATGATAGACAATATAATTTTGATACACAAATGAGTGAAAACTCTATGAATGAAATGAGCACAGCTTGTTCGTAAATGAAATAGCCACGTTTCTCTCGCGTCTCTCAGAAATCAGCTTTGTCAAAAGTTGGCTGCTATCAACTAAAACACTACATCATACACATTTTCTAATATTTGATATGTATATTTAAATGTTTAAAACATTGTACGAAATGATAAATAAATCTGTAAACTATATGAATGGAATGAAATGAAGCGCGATATCAAGTCAAATGGCTGTGTTGCCACCTCTCTGAATCAGATACATCAAGTGGTAGAAAATGTATATATTTAAATGTTTTAAACCTTGTATGGTATAATCTTGCCATTTCAACCAATAAATAGCTTGGCGGTTATGGGCAGTGTAGGTTTTACAAAGCCTTCTTGGCTTATGGTAGCAGTTATACAGGTACATCTCTACAGCGATGGATTTCGGGTTCAGTCTTAAACTTTAACAGTACCTGTCGGGTCGGGTCAAACGATCTCGGGTACCAGCCGGGTTCGGGCTTCAGAGCCCGTGCTGACCTCTAGTCAGTGAGGCTGCTTTCATGTTTATGCCTGTGCATGATGTTTGATTATGTCAGTGTGATACACTAGTAAACATCTGCTCTTGTTCGCAGGGTTTCATGGAAGATGTCAAATCCAGAGGGCCCTACATCTACTCAGTTTTGGAGTCGGCTCAGACCTTCCTGGCACAACACCCTTTCCAGGAGCCTGAGGAGACGTTGCCTGATGGCAAAGGTCTGTTCGCTAGAGATGAAAAGTGGTTAATGAACCATTTCGATACATTTAATCAAGTGTCATGATGTTGTTTTACTTCGGCTCCTGAAAAATTAGTCACATGATATTTAGGGCTGAGGTAATTGGCTCAAAAACAAGGGGGTCCTGTGCCAGTCAATCAACTGTCACTAGCAATGTTTCCATTAATTTAGCTTTTAATTCATTTAGCCTAAAGTTTTAGCCTAATTTAGCCTAAAGTATTTTTAATTATGGAAAAATCTAGTGATCAGCCAGAGATGCCTGGGCAACAGCGTGTCAAACAGTTCACGGAGGTAATAGTACACTGCCAAAAACAATGGTCATGAGCACGTTCACAAAAGAGTCAAGTTCCGGTGGAAGGACAGCCTGTGACCCGACGTATGATGTAGGCGTACCGTAAGCTTATTTATACTTATATTTATATTTAAACAAGTGAACAAATTTTAAGTCTTAATGTTATGCACTGTTGTTTCTTAAGTACATTTTTTTGTATAAATGTTTTTAGATATTTTAATCGGCAAATCAGACAAAGTACTCATTAAGAATAGTTGTTGTTTTTTTATATATAATTTTGAGGACATAGTTTTTGGACGTTTTAGATGACGCAAACTCTGAATCAACATGCACCAATGCAAATTTTCTATATATTGTAATCATGATGTTCACAACTTGCAATCATTACTTCTGTAAGCCCGTCTAAATCTGTCCAATGGCGGTATCCGATAGAATGGGTGGAGGTCTCTGCGCGTTACTGTCTTTCCGCATGGCAAAGTAATTTAGTTCCAATTAAACTTATCTGACTCCATTTTATCATGACCTCGAATTTAGGTTAGATTGTCAATTGGTTATTGGTCAATTATAAAATAGTTTAGCAATACATTTGATTGTTCTATTTAACTCTTTACTTTATATTTTACTCGTTCATTAGGAATCTATGTCGCTCAGAGGTCAGGTCCTCACGCCTTCTGTTTAACGCGGGTCTCACGATCACAAGCTTGTCAGTTTTCGGTCAATAAACAGAGGTAATTGGCTAAATACCTGAGATGGTTGCATTCACGCTTACACAATCAAAGATACTTTGGTATAGCCCCCATTGAATTGCATACACTTGAATTTAAGGTAACTTTTACTTCAGGCAGAGGTATGGCCACTACTACAGATATAAGTCGACCAACATTACTTCTCTTATAATAGCTTTGGATTGGCCATGCGGTGGTTTCCCACGTACACTTATCTAAAGTAACATTAAATTAAAACAGAGGTAAGACACCCAAATTTAGGTTGGTCAAGCAGCATTTTTGCTGTCCTAAACGGAAATTCACTTCTTGTCTTTGCAAACCGAGTACACTTGAATTAGTGCCAAATATTAGTCGTCACTAATCTGACGCAGACTTGCGGTAACATACGAATCTGTTTAATCTACTTGGGAAAACAATTTCAGAGTAATTCAGAATAAAATCAAATGTAACAATTTATTATGTCAGGTAAATGTATCTTGGCAATTTTATAATCAGTTCAAAGACAATCAATACAATAACATCAAATGCTCAGAGATAAAGAGTAAAAGATGTAGGCTAAACCCCGACATTTAGAAAAATACATATTGCTGAAGTCTTTGAGGTCCTTCAACATTATGGGCTGATCTGAGTTACAGAATCGCCCTGAGCCTCTCGCTGCATTTCCTTAAGTACTCAGACTCAGACAGAAGCTTCTTTCACATGGAAACATTTGCTAACAATGGGAATTTGGATTCAGAGTTTACACTTTTTGGGAGAGTGAGGCCATTTGCCTGGAAGACACACCACCCTCTGTGTGCAAGTTATCTCTAAACTCTTAAACTTTATTACCTTTTGTTTTACTTCTTTGGGGACGAGACCTTAGTACGAGACATTTTAAATGATACCAAACGTGTGATACTGTATGATAATTATTCACATTAAATCATATAGATTTTTGGGTGAATATCTGGTGGTCTCAGCGTGAGAGAGAGACAACATGGGGGAGGTGATTGACTCGGATGCTAGTTTCTCAAGACAGTAAATGTTAATTTCGAGAAAGGTCCTTTGTCTTCACGGGGAGTGGTCGTTCCTTAACCAGACTGCCAGGCATTTTCTAATTTCTCAATTCTTACACTTCAATGAGATCATTGTTTCTGCTGTAAATTAATACATTGTTAAAAATCGCTGTGTGATTTTTATATGTACATTTCTGAGATACAATTCTTGGACACACTTACCTCTGATAACAGATCACTCTAAATTGTAATGTAGACGCATGCATTTTCTGTAAAGCTGCTTTGAAACGATATGCATTGTGAAAAGCGCAACAGTATACAAATAAATGTGAATTGATTTGAAATGTGAATTTGCATCTTGGTGTTTCCATCCAGCATATTTTATGCAATATCCCAAAATCACATCAAAATATGTGGATGGACACCTGGCTATTGGTAGATAGCTCTTCAGCTAGTTTAACCCAACATTAACCCAGCACAGGTGCATTACAATCCTTGATGAGAAGTTGCCTCCCCTCAAGTAGGTCATCAGCCCAATTCTGCATCCACATGTCATCATGAGTGTGTCTGTGTCATATGGAGGAATTAATAATAGAGAGATCAGGGCTGTTGTTTTCACTCTGTTGGCTCATTTCACTCTGTTAATCTCCATTCTTCCCCTCCTCTCCATCACAGAGCTCTCTCCTCGCCGGCGAATGCTGAATGTAAGTCGCTCTGTGTGGAAGCAGGCCAACGTGGCCAGTGACCTGTGGGAGAAGTTGACAGCACGCTGTGTGGACCGACACCGGCACATGGAGCGAACCCTGGAGAGGCTGTTGCAGATCCAGGCTGCCATGGAGGAGCTGGCTGCCGCTCTGGAGCAGGCAGAGGGGGTGAGGGACGCCTGGGAGCCTGTAGGAGACCTGTTCATTGATTCGCTGCAGGACCATATAGATGCTACTAAGGTAATACGTCTTCGGTGACCTGATCACAAGTTACTAATGCAGACAAATCACTGTTTACACATTTGTGATTGGATTTTTTAAAGGAATGGTCTCTGATTTGGTGACTACATACATCATTTGTTGGGGTGTAACAATACATCGATATGGAGCAGGGCTGTCGACGAATATATATATATATATATATATATATATATATATATATATTCGAATAGTTTAAAAAATACGCCCGCGGTAGCAGAGGCGCGGCTGTCTGCTTTGCGAGTGGCAAAATTCTGAAGCTTAAAATGTAAAACGCATTTTCCAGCTGCACAGATAGCTCAGTGAGTGTCTGGCTCACTCATTGGCTGTGCTGCGGCAACTCATTGGCTGTGCTGCGGTCATTGACAAAATGCGCAACCAGATATTCGAATAGTTCAAATATATGTGTTTGTTTTTTAGGGAATATTCGAACGTCATTTTTGAGCAATTTTGACAGCCCTAATATGGAGCGATGCATCGATCAAACGTCTAACGACACGATGCATCGATGCCACACATAAAATATCGATATACGATACCTTTTATTTTGACACTCTCCACATCCTCATGTAACTTTTCTCAGCAGAAATAGATGCCTGACAAGATTGACTGAACCCTTTGTCACAAAAGCCGGTATTTTCGGAATCTTGCTAAAACAGCACGTTTAGTGGTGAGGGAAAAGCTCTCTGTATTGCGTGTACATTAATCACAACAAAGTTTGACAGGCGTCTATATCAGCTGAGGAGATTAATGTTACAAAGATTAACCAAGTGTTTTATTATGTATCATAGCAATTACTTAGCTTTGTTAACTCTGAAACATGAAATGTGGAGTTATCTGCTTTTGCCACAGAAAAAATATATATATATCAAAAAACACTTTCAAATGAACTTTAATTTTATAAGTTACCTGTATTTTTTTTTTGTTATTATTACTTAATCAAAACAACCCAGCTGCAGTTTGATTGATATTCAAATGCACAAAAAAAAAACAAAAAAAAACATGATATATGAAAATTAAATTCTCTTCTCTTCTGTTATAGAGTTCATTTGCAAAATCATGTGTTTGTTTACTTGTAACTTGTAACAAACAACTTGTAAATGTCTGGGAGAAGGTGTGCAATTTTCAAAGAGTTTAATTAAACTTTCATGTTATATATTTTTGGATACATTTGTGAGTTAATAAACGTACCTGGTTGTGTACACTTGGCACATAATATCTAAATAACGATAAATCGATTGATATAGCCCTGAATCGAATCGTAATCGTATCACAGAATTTTTTTGAGGTATCGGCAAATATCGTATCGCTGGCAGAAAGAGTCGATATCTTATTGTATCGTGATGAACTGTCCGATTTACACCCCTAATCATTTGCTACTTCATTGTGTTACTACATACACAAAGCATAAAAGAGCAAAAACAAGTCAGCACAGCAGTGTTACTTCAATCCCCCTGCATATTTTAAGTTTTGAGTGGAAATCTTGAGTTTATTTTAGTCATGCATGTCATGCTTCACATGATCTGTGTCACTGCATGATGAGATCAGGAAAACCTAAGAAGTTCTGTGAAGTCACCATGTGTGCCAGTTATTTTTTTAAAGCTGTTTGTATTTGTCAAAGTTTATCCATAATATAGACACAATAGTTGATTGATATGCGAGTAGGCTGTTGTCTATGATGCATCAGGGTGTATTAGTTTAAACTACATTGTGACATTAAACCACAATGCGCTGAATTAGGTCTATTTTGGTAGTAGCAAATGAAACTTTAAAAAACATCCAAACTGCAGTATTACATCTTGCATTGGTAGGAATGTTTAAGAAGTGAAAAAGTAACTTGAATTTGACTTTTGCACGGTTGTCTGCTGAGACCCTGTGATGCATGAACCTAATTTACTTCTAGATGTGCTGCTTTAAATAGATAAAGATAAAGAGGCTCAGTGTGCATCTATTATTGCATGCATTTTGATATCTTGATGTATTATGTGAGGCATTCTGATGGACTTTAGATATTTTTACAGTCTTTTTCCATTTGTTAGTGGACCTCACATCTCACTCAATTACTAATTCTAAGAATTTCAGCCAGATTGTAATGGGACTCTCCACGGGGCACATTTCTTTAATGGCATAGCCTGTCTTTCACTTTTTATCTCATTTCATTTCACTGTAGGGTTCAAGGAAGTGATTTTCTTTTAGAATTTAAATTAATTTTACTGTGAATGTGCGATGTGATTTGCCTCTTATGTGAATTTTTTGTGTTATTTATATATTTAATTTCAGAATAAGCTTTATTCACCAAGTGTACAAAAGGGCACATCTAGATTAAAGCAGTAGATTTAAAGTACAAAATAAATAGTTTCTTTATTGGCATCTATGGTTCCATGACGAACCTTTAACACCCATGGAACCTTTCCATTCCACAAAAGGTTCTTTAGATTATTAAAATGCTCTTTACACTAAAGCCAGGGACACACTTAACAACTGTAAGCCCGATAATGAATGTAATTTGATACTTAAAACTGATCATACCCAAACGTGCCGAGTCAGAGACAGTTCCGTTCAGTCGGTGTTCACTGTCGGTGTTTAAAATCTGCTCCAGTCGTTGGAAACAGTGTGTAAGTGTGTTCAGTTTAATCTTAGAATGCTTCAGCTAGTTGTTAAGTGTGTCCCCGGCATTAGAAAAACATGGTTCTTTTAAGAACTGTTCACTGGTACTTTAGGGAACCAAAATGGTGCTTCAATGGCATCACTGTGAAAACCACCTTTTGGAACCTTTATTTTTTAAGAATGTATGTACAGATGCACATTAAGTGCTGTATATACGATTTAAAATGAAATGTAATTAAATTCAATTCAATTAAATTTTTTGAATAAGTATCTAGTGCCTAATGCCTGTATGGCCAAACAATATAATTATACTGAACTATAAAAAGAGGTAGATAGTAGTAGGTATCCTATAGTGGTGTGCAGCGGATCCAGTATCTGTATCTGTAACAATCTCAAAAGGATTCGTTTCTGTATTCGGATAAAACCAGAAGTGAACAGGGCTTTAGCCGGTAGTTCATAAAATGACTTGAGAAGACCGTTTTAAATGTTATTTTGTTCCCTTCGTAGTTATCTTTTAACAAAAATGCCTTGTATAACTCATAAAATAATTATTTTTATTATAATTATAGGCAGTGCTTCGAGATGTAGTGCGAGTTTGAGTCCCGGATCGTGGACCTTTTCCGATCCCAAAAAATAAATATTTAAAATCTTTTATTTAGAGCAATAATACTACAAATTCCAGAGGAACTTTGTGTACAGAATGTCAGGACAATCGTGTCCACAATTAACCTTAAATAAGAGGAGTTGGACTCGATATAAAATAGCTGATTAGAGAACATGGAATTTGCAAGTAAATATTCAGTGGTTGAAAACAGCTAAACAACGGCTGCTCGATTATCGCAAAATCATAAATCACGATTATTTTGCTCAATATTGAAATCACGATTATTTAACATGCATAGTGGTCACTACAGTGGACAGCTATTAAAAAAGCATTTTCTTGAATTTGCAAGGGTTTTGATGGCAAAGTTGCACATCAATCTCTTCAGTGGACCCTGGTGCATCATCCTATACATTGCAACCAAGTTGCAAGCCGTTGTGTTTTGCGTTTTTTCCCCTCCAAACCAAGATGGCCAATGGTCAGTCAGACATGCCAAGTTGCTCCGGAATATCCACCCATTCCTTCTATCCCAGGAAACTCTTGTAGGTAAAAAAAATATTGCAGCATCAAGCAATATCTAATGAGTCATATGACAGTAAAATTTTCCAAGTTTTGATTTTAGATTGGGAGAAAAATCTGATTAATCACCTGTCCACTGTAGTGGACCTCATGCATCAATGGCTATATTTCAGCTATAATTCATACTTATACTGTGAATATTGTTTTTGAAAATACTTAATCTGCAGTGACGTTTTTTTACTGTAAATAAATGTATTTGTATTATTAGAATGTTAATTTCATTGACATCGAAAAAAGTTATGTGATTACATAATTTATGTGACTTATGTATTACTTTACTCATTTCATCAAAAAAGTAATCTAATTATGTAATGCATGTTACTTGTAATGCATTACTTTACTTGTTAGATCAAAAAGTAATCTGATTTCGTAATGTACTATATTGTAATGCTTTTCTTTACTCGTAACACCAAAAAGTAATCTGATTACGTAATGCATGTTACTTGTAATGCGTTATTTACTCGTAACAACAAAAAGTAATCTGATTACGTAATGCACATTACTTGTAATTAATTACTTTACTTGTTAGATCAAAAAGTAGTCTGATTAGGTAATACATGTTACTTGTAATACATTACTTTACTCGGAACATTAAAACAAATCTGATTATGTAATGCACGTTACTTGTGACACATTACTTTACTTGTAACATCAAAAAAGTAATCTGAATGCGTTATGCATGCCCCAACACTGCTAATTTCAGATGAGATTGAAAAATACGTATCGCTAGGTTTTCTCAGAAGAGGCCTACAGTATGCTAGAAATGTGTCTATCTTGAACATAATCAGAATTATCAGCTAATAAAGGTAAATTGACATACTCTGGCACACTGGAGGGAGCATCTGAGTGGTTTCCACTGTTGTACCTTGACAGGCTGTAGAAATTGCTGATGGAATCACGTCCTCATGTTCTGATATCAAAGATACACGAAGTGCAACTTGTATGAAGTTCAATTGCATTTGCAATATTTCGAATTTATATTTTTTGTATATATTTTATAGTTTTCACATGATTTGATATAATTGAATTGATTAGTTTGTTAAATACACATACTTTATCTGTTTGATTATTGTATTATGTTTAATATAGCATCTCTTCAATTTAAACCATAAATGCATGCTGTCCACTCAAGTGGACACCTGAAAATCTCTTTGGAAAATTTGTAAAAAAAAATTTTTTTTAAATCAAATCTTGT